TTCACACCTGGGTCTCCCGGCGGGGTGAGGGTGGGGAGTTCCCAAGCCAATAACAAACCATAGTGGTTGCTAAGACGATGATGGCTCAGTAGCCCAGAAAGGAGACAGTGAGTACGAATGGATGCAAACTGTGCGAGAAATGAAGCCTATAGATATTTTCATATTTTTCAATTTTTTCATATGTTGAGGGGATGGTCCTCCCATTCACTAAGGCAGGATACAGGGTAAGAAGCCCATTTGCAGGAAAAGCAAAACTTAGGAGGCTCAGGGGCCTGCAAAACATTGAAACAAATGTGCTCAGGACAGGGCTTACGAAGGTTTGGTCTCAGGGATGGGATAAACGCATAGAAATGTATGTGTCGTCTGCAGTGGGAGTTTTAGGGATCAGGAACTTATCCAGGCAGGCTGTAGGGAGTGAGAGTGGAGACCTCTGAGGATGGCTAATGTTCCGTTAGGGAGCAGAATCCGAGCAGCCTGGGATGGACTGGGGGACACAGGTGACAGCAGGAGAGCAGGCGGCCACAGGAGCTCGGCACAGAAGGGAGGCTTCTAGGGGAGCCAAGATCTGCAGCTGACCCCAGGTCAGTATCGCGGACGTCAGCGGAGTTTGTTAGGAAAACAGGATGGGCACGCTGCATGTGAGATAGCCTGGGGTCTCTTAGCAGGTCCACACCTGTCTCCTCGGCACCGGCTTTCTGGAGGACCCGAGGAATGCCGTACATTCTGTCTGGTGTGCCTCTTCGTCTCTTGTGGAAGGGAGAGCTTCAGCTACATGATTTCCAAGACCTAATCCTGTGTGAGTTATGGGCACTGCGTCCTGTGCACCCCTCCTCCACCGCCCTGGAGATAATGAGCCCTGTTCCTCTATCCTGCTCTAGATGTCATTTGGGGGGAAATTGTGCGAGCCTTCCAATATACATTTTAGTCATTTTTCTGTTTCACCCATGTGTAACCAAAAAGCTGCTTGTCGTGCGGATTGATGTGCCCTGCGTTTGTCAAAGCAAAGTCGTGTTACCTGAACTTTGTGCTCTAACTTAGCTCCATGAGAAACGGTGACTCATGATGTAACCTGATGGCAGTTAATGAGTGAATGCAATTAACTCACGCTTGGACACAAGCAGTATTTGCAACTTCTTCAAGTCGGTAACAATTCGTGGGCATAATAAAGTGAGGGGCATCACTGTTTTTCTATATACCATCAATTTGTAAGGTGATTTCTACATTAGTCATTTCTGTCAATGTCATTAATACAGAGGAAAAACATGTGCGTCATATAGACTACCCAAGGATAATAGCTGGATTCTATCCTTATAAATGCAGTTTCAAAGGCACTGCCAGAAACACGCGGTACTCCTAAATGTCTTTAAAGAAAGAGGGAAAAAGTGCCTCGTGGTTTTTCTTGATGTTTCCCACGAGTGCAGCCTCCACACCACCCACACGGTGCCCGCCTTGCTCTGCACGTCCACAGCCCACACTTCTCAAACAAAAAAAGCCATGAAAACTGGAGCAATAATTGCAGCTTTGGAAGTCATCAATGACGATTCTGCAACCTCTTAAAATCTGTCTCTTCCAAAAACACAAATACACACACACCAACCCCTAATGGTTTTCTAATAAAAATCAGGATGACTGTAATGCCAGATGGCTTCGTTTCGCAGGAGTCAGAGTGACAGTAACATTTTCATCTCAGATAGGAACAGTCTGCCTCCAGGAGTGTGGGGGAGGGGCTCAGTGGGAGAGTGAGCGGCCCCTCCTCCTCTCCACTTAGTGAGAAACATTATTTGAAGCAGGGAACATAGGGGATGTGAACTGTGTTCTCATTTTTTTTTACAGATTATCTATTTGAGAGGCAGAGCCACAGAGAGAGAGAGAGAGAGAGAGAGAGAGAGAGAGGGAGGTGTCTTCCATCCACCGGCTCACTTCCCAAATGGCCACACTGACCAGAGCTGCGCCCATCCGAAGCCAGAAGCTTCCTCTGGGTCTCCCACGTGGGTGCAGGGGCCCAACTGTTCCACCACCTTCCCAGGCCATCAGCAAGGAACTGGATGGGAAGTGGAGCAGCTGGATGCTGGCGCGCGCAGACAGAGGTCCAACCCACGACGCCACAGCGCCGGCCCCTCCAGTGACTCTTAACTGATTAGACAGTGCTGTAGGGCAGCAAGACACTGATCACAAAGTAACATCCCTTCCCTAGCCGGAAGAAAACAGCGAAAATGGCCAACAGTTCTCTCCTAGCCAGTGTCAATATAGACCATGTAAATTCCTGTGATCTTGTCCGAGTTTTCCTGTTGAAAACCATTCTTAGCTCCATGTACTCGTGAATGTGTAGGATTGGAAGGACTGAATGCAGAATGGGTTTTAAGGAAAAACTACAGGTTACTGGTAAACATCTAGTTTTATCCTTTTTAATATAGAAGACAAATTCTGCATGTCTGAAAGACCAACAGAGTTAAGCAAAGGCTAAAACTCCCAATGGCGTCTCCCAGTATTATTAATATATTGTACAAATGCATTACACAGAACAAAATAATATGAAATTAATTAGTCCACAGGATACCTGTGAAGTGTGCCCAAGCAGTTGAACAAACCATCTCTTTATCTTTCTAAATGTAATTGTTGCAGGCCCCAAGCCGTTTCCTGGCCTTAGCCATGTCTCAATGGGTTGCTTGTGTTGGGACTTCTAACTTCTGGTCCTCCTCCCGTGGAAGCAGAAGTCCTTTGTCACTTACGGAATCCTTGGGTGCACCTGCACAGGGCACACTTGCTCAGCCACACCGTCACCAAATTCCACCAGGAGCCTTGGGGGCAGCCTCACCCTCCGACCCCCACCACGGCATGGATCTGCCACTCTTGCTTATCCCTGAAGGCTACGTGGCCGTCACTGTCACTTCTCAGAGAATGCCACTGACCACAGCCTGTCGCATTCCTCCACCACGCCTCCTGCATGGCTCGGAGTGTGTGGGACTGTGGGGATTTACTGCTCACTGCTGACTTCCACCAGGGAGCTCGGAGCTCTCTGAGGACAGGGTCATCCGTTGTGTCCCCTGAGATAAATCTGCTTTGGCTTGTGGGCGGCTGTTGGGACCGTCACTGGAATGTGTCTGCATTGTCCCGTCCGCCTCCCTGGCAGAGCCTGCACCTGTTGAGGGAGAGGAGCCAGAACCTAGTTCCCCTACTTCCCTGGCACAGGTCCTCTCCCCACGAAGCCCTCTCCCCTCCAGAGGCAGACCCCCCAGTGATAAACACTGACCCCACGAGGCGTGGCAGCACCAGCCGCCCTCCTGCCTACAGGGTGGTTTGTCCCCCAGGGGGCAGGGATGAACACGAGGTGGCGTCTCCCTCCCTCCCGATGCCTGTCTCACAGATTGCTTCTCCAGAGCTCACTCCAGGGCCAACTGCACATCCTGCCTGCCGGCTGCCTAAATAATCGGCATTTGGGAAGGAACAAGAAGACGCAGGGAATTCTGGAGCCCAGCACAGGAGCCAGAATGGCAACGGGGGAATCGCGACCGCTCTCGGCGGCTGCCCACTGGCATCTCCCGCCACGGGTGGGAATGGGAACCGGGAGAGGCCAGGTGGGGGTCCATGCAGGAGCCCAGTGGCTGAGGGCTGGCTCCGTTCGTGTGACTGATGAGCCCTGTGCTGCCAACAGTACACAGTGTTGACCACAGTTCCAACAAGACTGGGTGTCTCCTGATGCCTGTGGGTGCCGGCTAAGGCAGTTAGGTGGAAAGGGAGGAGGCAACCGGCGCTGTGGCTCAGTAGGCTAATCCTCCATTCTAGTCCCAGTAGGGGCGCCGCATTCTGTCCCGGTTGCCCCTCTTCCAGGCCAGCTCTCTGCTGTGGCCCGGGAGTGCAGTGGAGGATGGCCCAAGTGCTTGGGCCCTGCATCCCATGGGAGACCAGGAGAAGCACCTGGTTCCTGCCTTCAGATAGGTGCGGTGCACCAGCTACAGCGCGCTGGCCGCGGTGGCCATTGGGGGGTGAACCAACAGCAAAGGAAGACCTTTCTCTCTGTCTCTCTCTCTCTCTCTCTCACTGTCTACTCTGCCTGTCCAAAAAAAAAAAAAAAAAAAAAAGGAGGAAGCAACAAAGTGTGTCAGTGTGAACTCAGTGTCCCCATGAAAAGGCTCTGGAGACGTCTCAGGGCAAACCCTGGGCAGGTGCATCTGGCCTGGGAGCCTCCCAGCGCCCAGTGGCAAGCCTCCTCCACGCAGGCCACAGGTGTCACTGCTGCGCTGGTGCTGGTTTGTCCTTCTGAAGACCCTGCCCCCTGCTCTGAGTGGAGGAAAGGGGTCACCAGGGAGCTGAGGGCCGGGCTCCACAGCATGCAAGTTCAAACTTCAATCCCATGGTGGTTTTCTTTTTTTAAGATATATTTATTTATTTGAAAGAGTTACACACACACAGAGAGAGAGAGAGAGAGAGAGAGGTCTTCCATCCGCTGGTTCACTCCTCAGTTGGCCGCAATGGCCAGAGCTGCGCCCATCTGAAGCCAGGAGCCAGGAGTTTCTTCCAGGTCCTCCACGCGGGTGCAGGGGCCCAGTGAGTTGGGCCATCTTCTACTGCTTTCCCAGGCCACGGCCGAGAGCTCGATGGGAAGTGGAGCCGCTGGGACTTGAACCGGCACCCATGTGCGATGCTGGCACTGCAGGTGGCGGCTTTACCCCCTCTGCCACAGCACAAGCCCCTGTGTTGGTTTTATCCTCTGGAGAAGAGTGTCAATCTCCGGTGCACCGTGGGGTGCTAGCGCCACACCAGTAGTGAGTAGGACCTGCTGACAGTGTGTGCACACAGCTGCCCTGCTGATCAGAAGGAAGCCTGGAGGATCCGCGGATCGGGGTGAACTCTCGCCCTTAGAGGAGAGGCCCTGGGCTCAATGGTGCCAGCTTGTTGCTCCCGATCCTCTGCTGCAAAGAGCTCTTGGCTGACTATTTTCCCAGCGTCATTTGGGCGTCTTCACGTCGTCGCTTACGGTTTGCCTGCTGTTTGCATTTCAGATGGGGACCCACAAAGTGTTTCTGAAGCGCTGGCATGCAGACCAGCTCAGCGACCTGTGCCTGCAGCTGCAGAGGAAGATCGTAACCTGCCAGAAAGGTAACTTGCATGTGGCTGCAATACCTGGAGCTGGGAACACACAGCTCCCAGGCTAAAGGTCAGGGGGCTGTGCATCAGAGCCGGCCACGCTGTCCGCTCCACAGCGCCCCCTAGGGAAAGGGCCTGGGGTGTGTTGGGAGTGCTCTGGCTTCCTTTGCTGGGTGCCTGTCTCTGACTCAGCATTTGGAGACACTGCCCGTCCTGTATCCGGTAGTCATTCGTATTTCTGGAGGGAATATGCCTGTCTTTTTTCTTATGCATCCCCCACCTTGCAAATATTCAGGATGTTGTTTTAAGAAGCAGGGGGCGGTAAGATTGTACCTGTGAATCTGCAGTGGGCAAAACTCCTGGCTGGCACGTGGGTACAGCAACGGCACCAAGTTCCTATGCCAGTCCTATGCCCGTGCCACTGTCCCCAGGGTCTGCAGAACCGGAACAAGCAAGTCAGTCAAACGGCATTCTCTGTAATCCTATATGAGCCATGGAAGTTTCTTGATTTTTTTCTTATGGAGTGATGATACTATTTGGAAAGCTCATCTATTTCATTTAACTTTGGGAGAAATTCCATTTAGGATTTTTTTCCTGTGAAAATGCAAGTGACTATTGTAAATGGACTTTTTTTTTAAGATTTTATTTATTTGAGAGGTAGAGTTACAGACAGTGAGAGGGAGAGACAGAGAGAAAGGTCTTCTGTCCACTGGTTCACTCCCCAAATGGCCACAACAGCCAGAGCTGTGCCAATCTGAAGCCAGGAACCAGGAGATTCTTCTGGGTCTACCACATGGGTGTAGGGGCCCAAGCATTTAGGCCATCTACTACTGCTTTCCCAGACCATAGCAGAGAGCTGGATCAGAAGAGGAGTAACCGGGACTAGAACCGGTGCCCATATGGGATGCCAGCACTGCAGCCAGAGGATTAACCTACTGCGCCACAGCACTGGCCCAAAATAGATGTATTTTTTAACGATTTATTTATTTATTTATTTATTTATTTATTTATTTATTCAAGAGGAGAGGAGAGAGAGAGAGAGATCTTCCCTTCCATTCCATTCCATTCCATTCCATTCCATTCCATTCCCCAAATGACCTCAACAGCCAGTGCTGGGCAAGTCTGAAGCCAGGAGCCAGGAGCTTCATCCGGGGCTCCCACTTGGGCCATCCTCTGCTGCCTTCGCAGGAGCATCAGCTGGGAGCTGGACCAGAAGCTCCCTGGACCAAAAGCTGCATCAGAAGCAGCTGAGACTTGAACCGGCGCCCATATGAGACACCATTACAGCAGGTCAGGATTAAGCTGCTGCACCACGGCGCCAGCCCCCAGAACAGATATATGTTTCAAAACATAACTGCTTCACATAATGTGTGTGTGCTTCACAGACACATTTTCTGATGTCTTACCTATAGTTCAGTAATTACGTGTTCCTACAGGAAGGTAACGGGGAGAATTCTCTATCTGCTACCTTTCAGTGGCCTTGGCGTCTGTTATGTCTGTGTAGCACGGGGGCCTGGTGGGAGCTAGAAATGAGTTTAATTTGTTGCAGCCTCTGTCCACCTCCTTGGTGGGGCTCATGAGGTCTGCCTCTGTGTGAACTCTGCGGCGGGCCCCCATCACGTGGTGGCCAGCAGCCTGCACGAGAGGAGCTGCAGCCCCAGCACGGCCCGGGCGCTGGTTGAAAGTGCAGAGTTCCAGGCTGTACCTGGGACCTCCCTCCCACGTGGACTGACAGCGCAGCTGTCCTGGGACAGGAAGAGGCGTGTATACTATGATGTTGCAGGTGCACAGCACGCGGTAGCCCAAATTCCCTGGGAAGCCTTCCTGACTTTGTGTCCAGTCTTGCATCAGGGGAGCCTGTTAGAGATCTCTCTTCTGGTTAGTGACAGAGATTGAGTTGCTGTAGCTGTTGACCTGGAGCTGAAGAAATGAACAGAACCCTAATTAGCAGTTCACCTTTCCAAAGATAAAAAGTGAGCCTAGTCTAAAAATACGGCCCCAAGAAAAAAAAAGCATAATTTAATACTGCATAATTGAAATAATGGACATAAAAGCATTTTAAAAATTACAGGCTCTTAAATGCAAAGTATTAATTATTGATTTTTATTTTTACATCTCTTAGAATAGTGCCCACAATACATTTTGGTAATTTTATTTTTGCTATTAAGTTTACTCAAAATTTATATAATTTGGAGTCGATTCCAGTTTTTACAGAGTTCTATTTTTTCTTTTGTAAATGTACTAGGGAAAGAAAGCTGTAACTTTTCGTTTTAAATGTAATCATTTTAATTTTAAATTATTCCTAGCAGAAATTTTCTCTGTGACTATATTTGTTCATTTTACCCTGGATGAACAACGGTTGCGAAGAAGACCTTGACGTGGTAGCTGTCATGGAAACTGCGTACTGGAATTGCTGGAGAGACCGCAGATACCGGCTCCCAGCTGTGGCCCGCTTGTTTTTATTAGTTTTCCCTGATGAGAGATACCGGTTGATAGTAACTGGCATCACGTTCGGAAAACATCTTCGGCTGCGTGTCTGAAGTGGGAGAAAACACAGCCCTCGGATGCGGGGCTGAGCACAGTGAACAGCTCTGCCGTGGCCGCTGGCAGAGGTCTGGCATAGCCACCTGACCCCTCCCCAATTCCAACAGAATAAGCATCTTGTGGGGCTGGCGCTGTGATGCAGAGGGTTAAGCTTCCACCCTCAGTGCCAGCATCCCACACGGGCGCCAGTTCAAGTCCCGGCTGCTCCACTTCCAATCCAGCTCCCTGCTAATGCACCTGGGAAAGCAGCAGAAGACGGCCCTAGTGTTTGGGCCCCTGCACCCACATGGGAGACTTGGAGGAGGCTCCTGGCTCCTGGGTTTGGCCTGGCCCAGCCCTAGCTATTGCAATCATTTGGGAGTGAGCCAGCAGACAGAAGATTCTCTCTCTCTCTCTCCCTCTCTCTCTCTCTCTTTTTCTCTGTCCTCTCTCTCTCTGTGTTTCTGCCTTTCAAATAAATAAATACATCTTAAAAAGAATCTTGAATGTCCTCTCACCTTCACCCTTGCAAAAGTCGGTATCTTGATTTTTTTTTTTTAATGCAACGAGAAGGAGTGGATGAAAGAACGGGGCAGTCCAGGGAGATCTGCCTCTGTCTGTCTCCATGTGTCTGTCACACACCTATTATTTCTTCAGTTTGCTCCACATTCTGCATTCCTGGAAGTCTGATTGTACCCTTTATTGTTTGACTGTTTTCCCTTTAGATTAGTTCAGTGTGACTGTTTGGCAGTTAACTGAATACGACTACATTTCAAAGTAACTCAACATTTGGTATTGTGAGCTTAAAAAAATAAATAAATAAGCCGTATGCCTTTAAGATGTCTGGCTCCTTTTCCAGAATGGTTGTATTTTGCTTTCCACCATCTAATCAGGTCAGGGCATTAGTGCAGAGGTCAAAGGTGACCCACATAGTTGTTCGTTTATAGCCATGGGATATCTTAGAGCTTATGTTTTATGGGCCTCTCCCCCAGAGACACAGATAAAAGTGGTTTCCATGAAATTATGCGTCTTCCGTGGTCAGAACAACTCCTCTAACCTTAGAGCTGAGAACTGGAAGGTAGCCTGCACCTTGCACCCGTGAGCGGCTTCTGGGAGAACAAGCCCTGGCACGCGTCATGCCCAGACGCAGGGACTAGGGGCCAACTGCCTTTCTCTCCACTTCCACCCCGTGCCCACCGCTTGCTGATTTGTCTCCCTGGGACTTCCCATCAGTGATGTGCCCTAGGAGAGGTGCCAGTCACCCCGTGAGACACCACTGCAGGCCGCAGGAGTGCTGTGTGGCCTCCTGAGTGCAGAAGGAGCAAACCCTGGTTCTGTCCTTCATTGGCTGCACTTAACTTTGATGAATTTGCTCTTCTGCTATTACAGATTATTTTTTAATTATCTGAAAGCCCGAAACAGGCAGACGGTTTTCTCCTGCCTACTGGGTCACTGCCTACCTGCCTATAACAGCCGGGGCCGCACCAGGCTGTAGCCAGGGGCCCAGAACTCAGTCCAGGTCCACTTCAGTGGCAGAGACCCAACTACTAAGCCATCACCTGCTGTCTCATTATCAGGAGGCTGGAATCAGGGACAGAGCCAGGACTTGAACCCAGGCAACTGTCACACATGGCAGCACCTAACAGCTACACCAAACACCCACCTCTTGAAGAATTTTCTTAGGCCTCCAAAACAAATCATCCTTATGTCCAAAATGGAGATGACGGTATATTTTATCACTGCATTTCAGCACTAAATGATAAAATTTAAGTGCCTGACACAGAAGTGCCTTAAAATGGTGATCGTTTAATCTTTATCTTAATTTCTCATATTCCTTATTCATGTCTCAGTGATCTCACAGCATCCTTGGGGCTGGCATTGTGGCGAGCAGGGAAACTCCTGCAGCGCCGGAACCCACATGGGCACCGGTTCAAGTCCCGGCTGCTCCACCTCCAGTCCAGCTCCCTGCTGATGGCCTGGGGAAAGCAGCGGAAGACGGCCCAAGTGTTTGGGTCCCTGCCCCCTACGTAGGAGACCCAGATGAAGCTCCTGGCGTCCACCTGGCCCAGCCCTTGCTGTTGCAATCATTGCGGGGAGTGAACTAGCAGATGGAAGATATCTCTCTCTCTCTCTCTCTTTCTCTCTCTCTCTCTTTCTCTCTCTTTCCCTCTCTGTCTCTCTCTGTAACTCTCTCAAATAAATAAATCTTTATTAAAAAGTATTTTAAAAGAATTTTCACTAACTTCCTCCCTCCACTTTTTCCACATTTTTCTAGCACTCCTTTCTAGAGTAGCAGAAATCTGAAGTAGTTTTCTTTCCAGAGTCTTCAAGGCAGTGCTCCTCTCTCCGGGACCTAAATCACATACACACTGAACACGGTATTGCAGGATATATTCAGAGACTAACTCCATCAGCCCTGGAACCCTCTTACTAATCTGGTATTTTAGGAGGTCACCAGATGGGGCCGTTGCAGCCACACCCCAAAGTCTCTAGGGTTTACAGCAGGTGCTTTGCCATGACCCCTGTCCATCCTGTGCTACCAAAAGGTCCGTGTGAGCTTCTGCTGTGGGACCTCGCGTGGGTCAAGCTGGCCATCGTGTGATCCTTGCTGAATTTACGTATGTCCTTATCCGATTCAAATGACATTTTGGTAAATGCTCGTTCTGGGTTAACCAGAGCTCACTTTGCAGCTGCTGAGCTGTAAGTCGGCTGTGGGTTTTGTCTGCGGGTCTGGGCTTTTCCCCTGTGCCCCGGTCACTGACCCAGAACTGTTCTTTTATGAAGTTATACGAGGATTTCTTGCACGCCAGCGCGTGCTTCAGAAAATGTGCACGCAGCAGCGAGAGCAGACATCCATCAGAAGCTTCCTGCAGAACACCGAGGACATGGCGCTGAGAACCTACGACGCCCTGGTCATCCAGAATGCCTCCGACATCGCCCGGGAGAATGACCGGCTGCGGAGGGAAATGAACGGCCCCCTCCATAGAGAGAAGGCGGAGGCCAGGAGCAGGCCTGAGGAAGGGATCCAGAGGTAAGGGCAGGCCGTGCGCAGCCTTCATTACCTTTGTGATTGATCCCGCAGGGTCCTGAAGGTTCCCTCAGCCCTAATGCAGAGCTCCATCCAATCTGACAGTAGTTACAGGAACAGGCGGGCGCCGTCTGCGATCTGAGACCCGTAGCAGCGGCAGCATAGCAGGGTGCATTCCCTGTGCGTCCTGCTCACGGCTTAGAGACCGCCGTAAATACGACTTTGGTCCTGCCTAAGTGTCCCTAGGGCACTCAAAGTTTGAAGGCATCAGATGTCCCCGTCCTCCACAGAGCTTCGCAGCTGGGCCGTGGACCTTTTCATGCAGGTGTCACGTCTGTGAGGCTGGCTCACGGAAACTTGTGGACATGTGGCCAGAGACTCGAGACTCGGCTCAGAAAACACGGGAGTGATGGGCGCCGTGCACAGAGCGCGTGTATTGTATTTCCCTGCGTAAACGGCCCCGTTTTCTTTGCCAGTAAGGAAAGCTCTGGGAAAAGCTTTGCATTGGAGAGCTCACTGCGGATGCTGAGCCTGAAATAGAACCAGGAGGACGCCCTGGCCTTCTGCCGTCTGCCACCCCCTCTGTGTGGATGAGGGCGCGAGGGCAGGGACCGGGCTCCCTCCCGTCTTCATTCAGGGCCGTTTTTCCGTGGACCCTGACCGTCTGCTGTTTCTCCCTGAAAACAAATCCCCTTTACCGAATGATTTTTTGTTAAAGTGGAACCGGCAACGTGTCTCTGGCTAATTAGCTTCAAATATCGCAGTGATTAAATACTGAAAAAATTCCCTTTCTACGGAAAACTGTAATTAAACATTACAGGGAAAACAAATTATCCCCGGAGTGCCGTGCGCTCTTGTGTTCAGCGAGTCATTTGCTACCCCCGCTCCTGGCTCTTCCTCGTGGTCAACCCCGCCTTGCAGGTGCCTTGGCCCTGGAAGAGGATAAGATCAAGGTGAATGTTCACCAACGCCTTGTGCCGCAAAGGCACGGGCGTCTTCCTGGGGCCTGATTCTGCTGCCGTGGGGAGCCAGAAGAGACCTTTAAACTGGAGAAGTGTTAATTTAATTTGGTTTTGTCTTTATTTGCCTGAGCTAAAATGCGGGGAAGGAGCAGTTGTCTGTTTATTTAAGGGACGCCAGCGTGCCCTTGGCTGGGGGCCCTGGGCAAGCAGTGGACTGAGCAGAGTGGGGAGGAAACCCCTGCAAGGCCTTAAACAGTCGCCAGTGGATTTAAATGAGGATGGGGGCGGGCACTGAAACGAAACCTGGAGTCCTTTGGCAAACGGACGTGGCCATGAACTTCCAGGGTTTGCAGCGTGGGTGTCTGCCTAAGACGCACTTCCCAGAAGTCATCTTTCAGCTAGAAATGTGGGTGCTCTGATCTGCTCAATAGCCAGAGTGTGAAAAATGCACGGGTACTGCCCGTGCAGGAGGAGGGGACCCCCGCACCCCCAGGCTAACACATCTGGCATCCGCTTCTGTCTCGCTCTCAGGGCCGAAGACAAGGCCGGGCCCCGGCGCGCCCAGGCCGCGGCGTCCGTGCGGTCCCTGTCGCTCCACTCCGTGTCCAGTGCGGAAGACAGCAGCGGCCTCCCGTCGCCCCGGAAGCAGCCTCCACCCAAGCCCAAGCGGGACCCCAGCACGCGGCTGAGCGCCTCCTACGAGGCGGTGAGCGCCTGCCTGGCGGCGGCGCGGGATGCAGCCCAGGGTGAGCGCGCCCCGCGGGGAGTGGGAGTAAGTCCTGGAGCGGGCAAGGGCCTGCCCGCAGCTGGCTGTCGTTGCACGCGGGTCCTGTGTGCGCGCTGTAAGCGCTGCAGCCCTGAGGCTGCGCGTGCCCGCCCGCACGCACCCTGGAGCAGCCCCAGGCCAGGGCCAGCCCGGGTCAGGAGTCCTGGACGCGGTCAGCTTTCACTCGGGATTAGAAAGTGAAGTCCACGGATTCCGCCCCCCACCGCCCAGCGCCCCGACGCCGCTGCACCTGCCTGGCCCCCAGGGAGAGCTGCTTCTCTTCCTGCCAGCTCTCCCGGGAACCATCCCTGCAGTGCAGTGGCGGCGGCTGAGTTAGTAATTCTTAGGGTCCTGGGAGCAGAGGAAGGGCTTCCTGCCAGTGCGCGCGGATTGACAGAACTCACGGGCCATCTGCCGCGTGTGGGGCCCTGTTCTGCACCTCCGCAGGGTACTTCACGCGGGCACCGTGTGGAAAGCGTGGCGTTCAATCTCCGCAAATAACCTCACAATCCACGTTTATAATGTGCATGTTCCCCAGGATGAAAAGTATCTGCGTAAAT